ATCTCACAGAGGGCCTAGGCTCAGGAGGGCTGGAGTATGAGACAGTCCCCCTCCCCTGCGAACTTAAAAATGTGGCCAACAATTTTTTTAAAAGATGGCTACCCTGTAGCGCTTTAACTGGACCTATTTAGACAACGCCTTACACACTGGAGAAGGATGATACTGTGTGAACCTAGTAAGTCTACAAGACAATACTTCTCTCTATTGGCTGTCTCCTTCCTTTCCAGGGTGATGACAACTCCGTGAGGTGGAGATTATACATCTCTCATCATTTCAGCAACAAGGAAATAAATGAGTGGCAGAGTAAGGGTGACTTGGTGAGTACATCTAGTTGTTGACGTCATTTTGGGAGGGAGAAATTTTGCTATTATATCAACTTAACTTCTTAAAATAATCTAGTGAGATTCACTTGTTTTCAATTCACAGAGCTCTCCTGGAAGTGAGGATCCTTTAAAAACCCTGGGATATACACTACAGTAAAAGAACAAAGCATATCTCAACCTTAAACGACTGAAGAAGAATGTCAAGTAGCAGCAGGTGGGAAAGCGGCTTTGGTTTTGAGTTTGTGACCTCTGAATCCACACAAAGACAGGACTGCATTCTGAAAACCTGAATTAATTATTGTCCTTACCTCAATGAGGCAGAAAATTGTAATAAAAATAATCAGTGTTACAGTCACACATATTGCCAAGATGAGTTTGTTGTTATAGCCATATCCTGGAACTTCTTTTGTGAGCTAAAAAAAAAAGGAAAGATTAATTAAAAAAAAAAAAAACCAGAATGAAAACTAACTTTTCAAAACCCCAGTATTCCAGGTGAGTAGCTTACAGGTTCTTATTTATTTTTGTCTCAACAAAATAAAGGTCTCACTGTCACCCAGGTTAGAGTACACTGTTGTGATCACAGTTTACTACAGACTTGACCTCCCTAGGCTGAGGTGATCCTCCGACCTTAGCCTCCCAAGTAGCTGGGACAGGCATGTGTCACCATACCCAGCTAATTTTTGTATTTCTTGTGGCAACAGGGTTTCATTATGTTGGCCAAGCTGGTCTGAAACTCCTGACCTCAAGTGATCCACCCACCTTGGCCTCCCAAAGTGCTGGGATTACAGATGTGAGCTACCACCCCCAGCCTACAGTTCATCTTGTGCACTAATCTATTTCACTCTCCAAATAAGTCAAGTGGGAGATCACCATCATGGCCAAAGTTACATGACCAAGACAAGCTATGGCCTGGGCGTCCCGGGTTCTCCTGTGTGGGCACTTTCCTGGCATATGCTAGATGATGGGAAATCTGGGTCTTATGTTTCTGTGTGGTCCTCACCTCACTCAA